CAGACCTGCCTGCATCTGCCTGCGCCTCACCCGATGCAAACACCGCAACGAGTCCTATCAAGCGCCAAAACCAGAAACCTGCCGAGCTATTCCTAGTGGCAAGCACCTATGGTAGTACCCGCGCAGGCTTGGGCCTCAATGCCCGCTGCGCCGAGTCCTGTCTCGCGGAGATGGAGTTTCAGCAGGTTGTTCTGCAGGCCCGCGGCCAAAGCCTGCTGCATGTGCGAAGTTTGCGTTGACTCGGATAGTGCTGGGGACATGGTGCTGCGAAGAACTTCGTCTGAGGGCTAGTCGGAATGTGGGGAGCCCAGGAAAAAACTGTAACAAACTCTCTTTGTGCTTCGCAAAGCTACTAGCAAATGACAGCACAGGCCAGTGCTAGGCCAAGCAAGTAGCGATGACAGCCCCTCACTTGCACCTGCATTCCCTGTCTACTCGAACACAGTTCGGGGCCTTGGCTCCTTCATCTTTGATCATATTCCCTGAGAAGTCCAACTCCTGCAGCGCTTCTGCACGCTGCAGCCATGCAGCCAAGGCCTCACGGCAAGGCTGGGCATAGGACCGAAGACCCGTGGCTCCAAGCACTTGCTCATGCAGACCTGCCTGCATCTGCCTGCGCCTCACCCGATGCAAACACCGCAACGAGTCCTATCAAGCGCCAAAACCAGAAACCTGCCGAGCTATTCCTAGTGGCAAGCACCTATGGTAGTACCCGCGCAGGCTTGGGCCTCAATGCCCGCTGCGCCGAGTCCTGTCTCGCGGAGATGGAGTTTCAGCAGGTTGTTCTGCAGGCCCGCGGCCAAAGCCTGCTGCATGTGCGAAGTTTGCGTTGACTCGGATAGTGCTGGGGACATGGTGCTGCGAAGAACTTCGTCGGAGGGCTAGTCGGAATGTGGGGAGCCCAGGAAAAAACTGTAACAAACTCTCTTTGTGCTTCGCAAAGCTACTAGCAAATGACAGCACAGGCCAGTGCTAGGCCAAGCAACTAGCGATGACAGCCCCTCACTTGCACCTGCATTCCCTGTCTACTCGAACACAGTTCGGGGCCTTGGCTCCTTCATCGTCGATCTCATTCCATGAGAAGTCCAACTCCTGCAGCGCTTCTGCACGCTGCAGCCATGCAGCCAAGGCCTCACGGCAAGGCTGGGCATAGGACCGAAGACCCGTGGCTCCAAGCACTTGCTCACGCAGACCTGCCTGCATCTGCCTGCGCCTCACCCGATGCAAACACCGCAACGAGTCCTATCAAGCGCCAAAACCAGAAACCTGCCGAGCTATTCCTAGTGGCAAGCACCTATGGTAGTACCCGCGCAGGCTTGGGCCTTAATGCCCGCTGCGCCGAGTCCTGTGAAGCGGAGATGGAGTTTCAGCAGGTTGTTCTGCAGGCCCGCGGCCAAAGCCTGCTGCATGTGCGAAGTTTGCGTTGACTCGGATAGTGCTGGGGACATGGTGCTGCGAAGAACTTCGTCGGAGGGCTAGTCGGAATGTGGGGAGCCCAGGAAAAAACTCTAACAAACTCTCTTTGTGCTTCGCAAAGCTACTAGCAAATGACAGCGCAGGCCAGCGCTAGGCCAAGCAGCTAGCGATGACAGCCCCTCACTTGCACCTGCATTCCCTGTCTACTCGAACACAGTTCGGGGCCTGGGCACGAGCAGAAACCTCCCGGAAATTCCCACTGGTTAGCACGGCTCCCGGATATGATCTGCACATGTTCTGTCCCTCAAGAGTATTTGTTGCAAACTCCCGACATCGCCTTGAAGAACTTCGGAAAGGCTTCCGCGTCCGCATCAGCCCCATGCAAACAGGTCAGGACCAGTCGCGCGACTTTGGTGTACTTGAAGGTGATGGCTACTGCCTGGCGGCGCTTTTCGGATTAAAGAGGGTATGATGTGCACAGCGGCATGTGGTCATGGCAGAAAATTCGTGCAGCATCTTGCATAAGGATTTAGGGCTTCCTCGTCAGAAGGATCTTCTCCCTGCCTCCATCGGAATTAGGGAAAGCTTGCAGTCGGAAAGGTCGAGGACTTTCGATTTGCCGGCCAGGAATTTGGCCAGCCCCTGTGCAAGCAAGCAAGGATTGGCCAAAAGTACGTGGACTCTGCTTTTCTGAGGCCGGCAGTGTCCGGTAGGCCAGAGAAAAAGGACCAATAAATGTTTCGAGCTTGTAAGCTTGTCCTATCTTTGACGTCTTTGAGCTGGCATCTGCAAGCACAGCATTGGCTGGCTGCAAACATCCGTTACCATAAACTGGGAGTAGCCTCGCGGATCCCCTTCAATTAAGCCTGTGCCTGGGCTCCAGCAAATGACTGTCTGTCCTTCAGGGCTGCTAGTGCTTGCAATCACTTCATCAGGAGCACATGCTGGACTCTGATGCTGCATGCTGACCGCAACACAGCTTGCAACTGCAAACCTAGCCAGGAGCCCTGCTCGCGCCCATTTCCAGCCCCCAGCAAACCAGGCAATAGCCACATGCAGTCCCCAAGATTCCGGACCAGAGCAACGCCGACAGAAAACCTAGGGTTTGCGTGTTTTGGTTTAGGGCTTCACGTCCGAGTCCTGGAGCCTCAGGAAGTGCATCTGCTCTATGGTAGAAGCCTGAGCGGCCGCGATCAATGCCTGGCATCTGCTGCCGAGCTGCGCTTAATTCATGAGCTTCGCTTTTGCCGCCACTCATTGCAAAAACATGCCAGCGTAGACCTTAAAGAGTTCAAAAACGACGACAGCAATTTCGCCTTTGGGGAAACCAGACGCACCGCAGCGACCACAGCTTTGAGGACAGGGAGTCGGGACAACGCAGCAACATGCAAATCCCCAACAGCCCAAAGTGCAGGAAACTACGCGCCTGCTACGTTTTCGTAACACGGAGCGATGCAAGCCTCACAAACAGCACGGAACCTAGGCAGGAGCATGATTTCAAGCACGGAACGTGCACGGGACTAGGACCTCGGCGACAGCACGACTTAGCACACACCGCGGGGCCAACAGCATGGTTATTGCGATGTCTGGTGACTCTCACTGGGAAATCTCTTGGTGATGACACACTGCTTGGGGAGCTTGCGTCAAGAACCGGCAACGTCTCCACACAAAGTTCACAAACTGTGCCATAGTGTCTGCGCGCCTCCGTGCCCACTGCGCTGATGCCCGTGTTCGCAAGGCTGAGGGTCTGGAGCGAGGTGTTCTTGACCAACTCGGCAAGAGCCTTCCACCCAATACAGAAAACACAAATTGAACACACTCGCCCAAGGTGTTTTGATGTCCCTCGAGCCTGCAAGAGAAATTGCCACGAAGTGCACATGTGAAACGCTTATTGGGGATGCTAAGGGTGTGAGGCATCGACTGGCCAGTCCTGCACGTTCTCTCTGTTTATCTCCAACATGTCGTGGCCCTTTTGCACACGGCTGTTGCTGCTTGAAACAAACCTCTGGCTTACAACCTGTGGTCTTTCACAAGTTGCTTTGCACTTCTGGGCCTTGGCTCCGTCATCTGCGATCCCGGGGTTTTCTGACAGATCCAGCGCCTGTAGACCTTCGCCAAGGTTCAACCACAGAGCCAGTGCCTGGCAGCGAAACTCAAGGCTTGTAGTTTCGTGCGCCTTACGCATGACCGCATGACTTTGCTCCTGTGAACGGCGATTTGTGCATATACTACCATATAGAGCACATGTAGCGTCGGCACCTCAATGCCCGCTGCGTCGATGCCAGTGTTCGCAAGGCTGAGGGTTTGGAGCGAGGTGCTCTTGACCCACTTGGCCAAAGCCTTCCACACAGCAAGTGCACAATGAAAGGCTGATTGGGAACGGTACGGGTGTGTGAGGCATCGAATGCGCCCCGCTTGTACCGAGCCAGTCCTTCACAGTTTTCCACTTCTCTCCAACATGTCCCGCGTTGCTACCTTGCAACTGTTGAAAAGGGTACACGCGGCCTGCAACAAACCTTTGACTTCCCTGCGGTTCTGGGCCTTGGCTCCGTCATCTGCTATCCCCGGATTGTTCGATAGATCCAGCACCTGTAGACCTTCCATGAGGTTCATAGCCAGCACCTGGCAGCAAAATGGCTAGCAAGGAAGGTTTTCCACCAAAGCCCTGTCTAGACAACCCCTTCATCCATAAACACCGTGAAGTTCAACACAAAGCCCAAAAAATTGCACCCTTATGTCAAGACCTCTCCGACCTCAAATCCCAAACCCGAGGACCCCAAGGCACCTAAACGCCCAAAAGTTGAATATTTCCTGGAACCTATACTGTAGTTCCTTTTTACACAAAGATCTGTCATAGTCACGATAATGCAATACAAGAAGTTAAGGTAACACAAACGGGAAACCACAGTTCCAGGTCCTGGTATTAAGAGTTATAGTTCACTGCCGTTTCAGGGTTCCTCCAGTATCCATACCCACTGGGTTCCTATTGAGCAGTTTTCGACTCAACTACAAAAAGAAAACCGCTTTACTTGCACACGATTTGCTAATAGTGGCCTGGCCCTCAGCATCAACCCAGCTTAGGACCCCATTGTGCTATTTATTCCCTTTCTGAAGGACTAGGATCCTACATCCGACCCTCCTACATCCGACCCTTCTGCTCCTGTGCGTCCTGTGAAAGGCGCGTTCTGCCTGTAACACCGAATGAGCTGCCCAGGTAGTGTCAATAGTGTCTGCGCGCCTCAATGCCTGCAGTGCCGATGCCGGTATTCGCGAGGCGGAGGGTCTGGAGCGAGATGCTCTCGACCCAGTCGGCCAAAGCCTGCTGCACGGCAAGGCCCAATACCGAAAACAAAAACGTTAGCATATTCGCCCAAGGTGTTTTGATGTCCGTCGAGCCTGTAGGACAATTTACCGCGAAGTGCACAATTGAAATATCCATTTGGGAAAGCTAAGGGTGTGAGGCATCGACTGGATTGAGCCAGTCCAACATGTCGTGGCCCCTTTGCAAACGGCTGTCGCAGCTTGAAACTAACCTCTAGCTCACAATCTGTATAATCGTTCATTAGTTGCTTTGCACTTCTGGGCCTTGGCTCCGTCATCTGCGATGCCGGGATTTTCTGACAGGTCCAGCGCCTGTAGACCTTTGGCAAAGTTCAACCACATAGCCAGTGCCTGGCAGCAAAACTCAAGGCTTGAGTGCCCTTCGCATGACATGACCGCTTGCTCCTGTGAAAAGCAATTTGCGCCTATACTGCCATAGAGAGCACATCACCAGCTGCCCAGGTAGCGTCGGCGCCTCAATGCCCGCTGTGCCGATGCCGGTGTTCGCAAGGCTGAGGGTGTGGAGCGGGGCGGTCTTAATGCACTCGGCCAACGCCTGCTGCACGGCAAGGCCCAACACAGGCAAACTTGACATTACTCGCCGAGGGTGTGTTGATGTCCATCGAGCCTGCAGGACAAATTGCAATTAACCCGGACTAACCGTCAAATATGAACAGTCCAGCTGACGCCAAGTCTTCATGGACGACGAACCTCAGATTAATCCTCCATGCCCCGTCGATCAGACTCCTTGGGCCTACTTAGCGAACACTTTCTTCCCTGCAGCTGCAGTTGCAAGTTGCGCTTGCACTCAATGAGATCTTCAACCACCCACACTTCTGGGCCTTGATTCCATCATCTCCGAGCATAGCGTTTCCTGATGCATTCAGCTTGTGCAGGAGCGAGGCCGGAAGCGCGCCCAATGCCTGGCCGGTGGCTCCAACGATCTCCGATACTTGGATTTCCCCTAGAGGGACTAGCTGCGTGGGACCAAATTAGCTCAGCGGGGGCGCTTCTAATCACAAATTCTTTTCTTGGCAAGTCTGATGAAGGTTTGGCCATTCTCAAGAATGTTCTGACCGAAAGTTCCTCCACTTCCTAGACGCTGAACGTCAGCCACAGTCCTTGGGAGGAACGCTCCAAAGGATGTTCGGGACCGAAGTTGATGGTTAAGGCCACTCCAGGTACCTATTTGTGTGTAGATGCTCCGGGGATCAGTCGGAGTGACAGTCGCCTAAACAGCAAGAGCCACGGTAATAACATGACTATGGCTCAATTCACACGGGCCCCTGCAGCTGGGGCCTGGGCCATATGGGGGTTTACGAAATTAGGGGTACAATATTGGGTCCTTTATATAAGGGAATCGTACTATTTGGGGGTCTATATTAGGGGCCCCCTATTTTCGTAAACCCCATATAAGCCCTGACGCGGGTTACCGGCGCCGCCAGCGCTGTCTGCAAATCCTGCCCTTGAATCATTATGAGGGCTTTTCATTCCCCTGACATGCATGCCCCTGGCACCTTTCCAAAGAGAAGGTTTATGAATCTTGCCCGATTGCTGAACTTATCAAAGCGCGGCAATGCCTTGACGACCCCTCCCACTTGCCGCCTTGAGCAGAGAACTGCTGTCTGGAGCACCACAAAGCAACAGCTCGATGTCTTTCACGCAGCCGGCGGCGATAGCGACAGCCTAGCGAGCACGGTCTTGACAAACTACACCATGCCGCAAACCATGGCCCCTAATGACGACAAACTGCACCACGCCGCAGACTATGGCCCCAGGCGGCCAAGCTTGAGTACGGTTCTAGGATACTAGTATGTTGAATTCTACTAGTGGTGGGAAACAGACACACAGCACACTGCGCAACACCAACCAACGTTGCTGCTCATGAAGTTTAAGCTCCTGCTGGTCTTGACACCTTCTTGGGGTGGAGACGCACTTGCGAACGCACTAGCACCACAACGGACCCACAACATCAGCCAGGTCCGGATATTGCGGAATAGACCAAGCTGGCCACCCATTCTGCAGATTCGGCAGGTCCAACCCTAAACCCTATAAACCCTAATCAACCCTAAACCCCAAACCATCCCTAAACCCTAAACCCTAAACTCGCCTGGACCAAAGGCTCTGGAAGTTGAAGATGCGAAAGGTCGAGGACGCTCGACTTGCCAGCGAAGAAGCGGGCCAGCGCCTGCACAAGGAAGACATACCCTAATTACTGAGATTCGGCAGGTCAATGACTTCATACTCTGTTCGTTTAAACGGGTTCAGAAAATCTGGCGAGGCAGTGTTCAGAAACTGGTGTTGGCAAGTCTTCTCTCGCACGCGCGCCGTTTTGCAAGCCACGGTCGAGCCCCGAAATAAGGCAGGCCTATCCAGGTTTATGTGAAGCGTGACGCATCCAAACACCAAGCCCGGGTCGAAGACAACTGGAATATTGCTACCTAACCCCAGAGCCACTTCAAAGGCCCGCTGGCAAGCGAACCTTTCACGGCACGCACCTTTACTTCCGGCAATGGAAAGTCGACCGTGCCTCTGTGCAGATGCTCCAACATGCGTCCTTCGGCGCAGAAGTCATTCAGCACTTGGGCATGCCACTAGGACCTAGGACAACAAGAGCGCACTTTGCAGCCAAGCCATAAACCCCAAACCACCAAACCCCAAACTGCTAAACCCTCAACATCCCTAAGATCGGACAAAACGAACGAGGGAGCGGGAGTCGAGTAAGCGTGCACCAGTCGTGCCCATGGTGAAATATACCGATTCGCTGTGCTGCGCAAAAAGCACACAGGTTTACCCACATGTGCAGGTTGCAGCTCCGCACCCCGTGCGCGTCCGACACAAGCAAGAACACTGCAAAACTAGTTCGAGGCTTGACATGCTCTCTCACCCTTTGCCTACCCTGATATCCCTAGCGTCAGCCGCCAGCTTTTCCATGCGCGCAGGACATGACAATGGGTGGAGACTTTCAAGCTGGTCAGGGCCGTGTAGGGCAGGCCAACCAAAGAGCCCAGGCAAACGACAAAGGGAACGGTGGGCAAGCAAGGCTGTGAGCAGGGGCAGAGGGGCAGAGTGGCAGAGGGGCGGAGGGCAGAGGGGCGGAGGGCAGAGGGGCAGGGATTGAGCAGGGGGCAGGGGCCCGCAGCAGAGGGCAGGGGAAAATGAGGCAGTTTCGAATTGAAATAGTATTTGCGCTTCATTTGAGAGAATGGTTGGGCCTTTCGAATCGAAATAGCATTCGCGCTTTATTTGAGAGTTATAGGGGAGTGGGGTAGCGTGCGTTGCGGTAAAGTAGGGCACGCAGCTGCGGAAGGCAGCAGCTCTGCACATGTCTGCGCCCGGCCACCCGTCCTCCCTTGGCGAAGAGAGGTAAAGCTTCGACAGAGACGATGACGAAGCAGCTGCCGGGATCAGTACCTGACAGGGACAGAGCTTCATCACGACACGGACCTGCACTCATCTGCACAAGCAAGCTTTGGTGGCAATCGAAAACGCTTCCGCTATTCGATTTACTCCCCCGACATCGAGCGACGCGCGCTCATAAGGCTAGTGCCAGGGAGCTGCTGTCCAAAATTCTGGGGAAACGCTGCTCCACTTGCAATCGCTTCACCCGCTCCACTCGCGCGAAACGATATGGCTGGGATGGGCTTCGTTGCTACCGCGTTGTGGCGTGCGAAATGAGTCGCAGCCATCAAGGAAGTCCTGCAAACCCATGGAGGCTTCTGATTTTGGCTCTACATCCTACGCAGATTCCTGGGGCCAGGATCGGTGGTGGTAGCGTCTTTCAAATCGCGAGACCTACCTAATTAATACGTTGGTCAAGCTGACACCTTCACCTGCACGCATCATCATCCCTGAAAGACCTTCTTCTTCCTTCACCTACACACAACCTACACCCCTCCAGCCAACTTCAATGCTATCGACCATCTTGCCACGCGCCTCGAAGCCTTCGGAGGTCAGGTCACAGTCGCGCAGGTCTATTGTCCGGGCGCGCGCACCGTCTCGAAGCAAATCCGCAAGGACCTGCGCGAGAGGCGCAGCGTCTCGGCTAAGATTTGCCAACGAATCCCATAGAACGCGTTATCCCAGCTCTTGGTCCTTCACGCTTTGAGGTTTTGCAGCGCGCGAACCCACCCACCCAGCTGCGTGTCAAACTCCGTGCTTCCAATATCAAGGAGAACATTAATTCAAAATTGGCGGGCCAAACCATGATGCGCACATCAACCTTTGAGCCCTCAACTCTCCAGTGGCCCTCGAAAACTCAAAAAACCATCACGAAAACAGTACGTTGGGCCAGAGATCGGCCCCATCTTCCGCCTTTATCGAAGCGGCGCTGACTTGATTGCCAGCAAGGACAAGGTCGATGTCTTTGTCTTCATTCATGCAACCGACGGCAATGGCTACAGCCTGGCGGGGGGTCGCAGCATTCTGGCCCTTCCGGCAAGGCAACTTGGCCTGCTGTGTAGGCCGAAGCCGTTCTAGACCAGGTGCCTAGGAATGGATCGAACCATGTCAGCTTAATTATGAATGTTGTGTCAACTCAGCCCACCTCTGCAGATTCAGCAAGCCCAATTCTTAGACTCTTCTGCGCTCGCTGTGCCTGGACCAGAGGTTCGGGAAGTTGACATTCGGAAAGGTCGAGGAGTCTTGCAGTCGACTTGCCAGCGAGAAATCGGGTCAACGCCTGCACAAGAAAAAAATTTCACAAATTGGAAAATTGGGCCAAAAGTATGCTTGTCGCAAGGTAACGTTCAATAAATGTCGGTGGCAAACATCCCCAAACCCTTAACTCTAAAACCCTAAACCCTAAACCCTGAACCCTGAACCCTAAACCCTCGCCATGTGCTCTGGTTTCAAAGCCCGTTTGCAAGCAACGCTACGCTCCTGGAAGCCTGCTTTTCAATGTGCTCATGATAAGCTGCTGCGCCGCGTATCCAAAACATCAAGCAGGAACAAAGATTGCCTTTGACAAAAGTTGGTACTTGACGCAGCAACCACTTGTAGATTCTGGAAGCTGCCCCCAGACGCCTGAGCGTGCCCGTGCCGTGCACTGTCCGAAGCAAACCCCACCCCAAGGCTCTTCATATGGCACAGGAATGTTCCCTGCACATGTACTGCCGTTCATTCTGCAGGTCCCTCGAATTTGAGTCGCCTACAGGTGGCTGAAGGCTCTCAAGGCTGGCCAATTGTGGAATCAACCTTCTTGTCTTAACGCGGGGTGCACGCATCCGGCTATTGTAGGTGCCCCGCGCCTCGGTCTTCTCCGCGTCCTCCCCAGTAGTGTCCTTCGGCTCTGCTTTTGAAAAGCATCTCCCTCACTGGGGTACAACACTAAGACATGGAGACTGTGCTTGGAGGTGCATGTCAATGTACTCATTTGCGGACGCCAACTTTGCACTTCATCCGCGTCCTTCCGTTTGGCTGCAAAGAGGCAGAGGTCCTCCACAGAGGAGGAGGCGAAGGCTGCCGGGATCAGCACCTGAGTTCGGCGTGCAGGGCTGCATCACGGGCACGGCGCAAGCTAACAACTCCGACGCAATAATGCTTTCGTGGCTTAGCTGCTGTCGTTGTCGGCGTTTCCGGACAGGCCCTGCTTTCTCTGAAGCCACTTCACTTCAGGTTGCAAGTGACATCGTGTGGCAAGGTTGCGGCTGCTAATTACTTTCCAGGCTCCACTAGTGGACACCGACCGACATCTGAGTCATCATCCAGGGGATGCGCTGCAACGATTGCGGAAATTAGCTGAAGCTGGCGTCGTGGCAATGAAAGTCCACAAACTAGCTTTCGACAGTCTTGTACCTCATGTAAGTACCGTTGTTGCTGATGGGGCTGGATGTCGACCCCTGCGCAGTGCTCCTGCACCTGCCCTGTGGCAAGATCCCAAGCCCCAACACTACCTTAAACCCACGGACTGTCGGGGGCACTTGTATCAGGACTGTCGGGGTATAATCAGTGGAGGCGTGAAATTTATGCCAAGACTGGTGGCTGCTCCCGTATGTGCCTTCCTCGTTTCTGGCGGCCCTTAATGATGCTGCAACGGGTCTATAAAAAAAACGCCACACATGTCACTCACTCCCAGCACGCGCGAGGAGCTCACCCAGAAAATGCGGCTTCGGCTATGGCACCTCCAAGCCTTTGGAGGTCAGCGCGTCACCTTGCAACTTGACGCCCTTGATGTTTGCAAACTGCAGCATGGCTGCAATGGCCTGCCCGCCACATGCATGGCAAAAACCAAGTTCCCAACTCCATCTGTGCGTGGAACACATTTCAGTTTCAATGCCACGCACGTTGCTGTCAGGTTGATTTGAAGCAGCGAGCAAAGATACTGCCTCGGCGTCCTGGTCTCGAACTTCATTCTTGGACAGGTCAAGCACCTGAGCGGCACAGGAAAGCTGCCTTGCCATCTGGGGCTTTTCCAGCCACAGGTGCGTATGTTGCGAAATGCGTCATCCTCAAGAAGTGCTTCAATGCCTGGCAGTCACTTAAGAGCAGCAATGATCAGGCACAGTTGTCCCTCAGGTAAGAAGTTGGGTGAGTGTGCTGCCTGCTCCTACCTAAATGCACTGTCACCAAGGGCGTATGTGAGCTGCTTCAGAGCCAGGCCTGCAGCTCCACTTGGATGCCGCCCCTCCCTTCCAGACCCCGGTCGCTGAGGTCCAGATGGCCATCGGTGACCAATGCTTTGAGGCAACGAAAAATGAAGTCATTGCGGTGTTGCCGCAGTGCGCCTGACTAGGCGGGCAAATGCGATGGTCTAGTTGCAATACTACAGGCACAACTCCCTTCCAATAATCCCCTATAAATTGCAATGCTAGCTACACATTTCAATTACAGAAGGGCACCTATATTCGCGCCTCTTGCAATACCTCAGTCTGTGCATGCAGAAGTGGGCCTTCTCTTCTGAAGCCATCCGGGAAGGCTCTCTCAAAGAAGTTGACTCGCGCTGCGACTGCTCTGAGCAAGCCGAAGTCTGAGGAGAACTCTGCCTGCTGGCGCAGCACGACGACGCAAGCTGAAGCAGAGCAGCCGCCCTTGCCTTGCTGTGCTAGCTAGAAGACCTTCACCCTGTCTCTCCTGTTGTAGCGGACCTCAACATGTGCCGGGGCCTCCAGAAGCAAGCGGTTTCGCAGCATTTCATCCTTGGTGTCCAGCGCCGCATCGAGCTGTCTCGCGAAGAATGGAGCCACTGCCTGGCAGAATTTAGCAACAACTCACGCGGTTTTGAAGTCCAGGACTTGGGCAGGGGGGCGAAGGGGGGGGGGGGTTTTCAGGGGTTTTACTATATGAAGGATTGTAGTACAGTAAAACCACTGTATAAGAAACCATTGTATAAGAAACTAAGACCCTAGATCCAGGGAGTTTGGGCGATTTGCGGTTGCCTTTTAGCTAAGTGCCCTAGTGTTGGGGGTGCTACTTTCTTAAAATCGCGTCTACAAAACTCTCCAGAAAACAATTTGCGGGAAATATTGGGGCCCAGTCCGATGCTGCAAGTCACTGCACGTCGTGACTCCCCCGCGCGTCTGCGGAGAGTCACATTCTAGAGGTTTTCAGCCCTGAAAAGCTCTAAAACGTGACTCCCCCGTGCCTCTGGCCTGACCCTCCCCAAAAACGCGCGGGAGTCACATTCTAGAGGTTTTCAGCCCTGAAATGCTCTAAAACGTGACTCCCCCGCGCCTCTGGCCTGACCCTCCCCAAAAACGCGCGGGAGTCACATTCTAGAGGTTTTCAGCCCTGAAAAGCTCTAAACGTGACTGCCCCGCGCCTCTGGCCTGACCCTCCCCAAAAACGCGCGGGAGTCACATTCTACAGGTTTTCAGCCCTGAAAAGCTCTCAAACGTGACTCCCCTGCGCCTTTGGCCTGACCCTACCCCAAAAATGCGGATCCCGCGGAGCAGCTTCTGAAGGGGAGACCCCCCCCCACGGTACCTGGAACATGGGTTTGGTCTAGTGGTATAGCGTACTCCCTTATAAACGAATTAAGAAACCAAGACTACCCTAGTTCAAATCCTCCTGGCTACATCGGTGAATGAAAATTTAGAAACTTAGAGTACCCTAGTGCCGGCAAACCGTTTTCTTACACAACGTTTTTACTGTATTTCGGGTTTAGATTCGGAGTACCCTGGCAATCTCTTCAGCACTTCAAATCCGAGGGCCCGGGCCAGAGAAGTTTTGCTCAGGTTGTCGGGGGGGCCGGCTTGGCCAAGGTAGGTTCCTTCAACTTCGTCCTTCAACAGGCTACGTACTGCGATGTGCCTGCCGAAGTGGCTTGAAGAGCAGGAAGGAGGCAGCGATCTGGATGACGGGAATGCACAGGTTGAGAATGGTGACGACAGGGCTGCCGCCCTCGAGGACTTCGTAGATAATGGCGGTGATGGCCTCATACAGGCATGACCACAATGGCTGGTTTGGGCGGTCTTGGGTCTCATGACTTGTGCTATGCCCGTCGCTGCCTGCGGCACATTTTCAATGCACAGCATGAACCTTGGACTCAAGGCATGTGACTCACAGAGTCCGGAACGTTGTAAAAGCTCCTTGTAATGACTGTACCTACAAAACAAGAGCTGCTAGACTTGCCCAAGGAAACATTTTGGTTGGCGTGACCTGCTTGTAGATCACCGGCAGTACGTCCTCCTGCCATTTCCGCCTCCACCAGGTGGACCACGTGTCATCACTTACGCCTGATCGCTGGGGAAAGTCTGCCTCCATGGGGGCTACCCACACCGCGAGGTGATTGGAAGCAAGTTCAACCAGACACCCTTCTTTCTTTCTGACAAAGAAATACGCGTGGAACGCAATCAGGTAAAGCCACGTCCACACGCCCATGGCAACAGTGAAGCCACTGCTGGACTGGACGCAGAGCCCTCCAAACTGTGCATCTTTCAGGGTGTCGTAAGCGTCGGACAGGATAGGCCACACGCCGCTGATGGTTGCGACAGCGAATGTCTTCAAAGGATAGACGCGTCCTTTGGGAAGGAACCTCGCGCAGGCCAGCGCCTGCACCAACTGCCAGAGGCATCCACAGGCGAAGAGAAAGGTGTAAGCCTCCCAGGTGAGGCCTGTATCCTTCGTCAGAAGCCCCGCTTGCACGCAGTAGAGCACCGTCCCCATGCAAAGGGTGAAGGTGCCTGCAAAGGCTGCCTGCAGCAGGCGGAGCTGGTCTTGGGTCCCTGCCCTTTGGTCCCCACTCTGCTGGAAGTAGCTGGTTCTCGCTTTGGTCAATGCAGGCCCCTGCAATTGCACGTCTTCCGGGTCCACAGCTTTCACACCTTCTGCGGACAAGAAGGAGCCCCAGCTCCGAAGGGGCACTTCCTCTTGCAGGGCCGGCTCCTGCACCTCTGCTGCGGTGACCGCCGGGCTCGTGCTAGGAATTCCCACAGTCTGTGGTAAAACCTCACCGGTGTGCAAAGGTCGCGCCTCGACGTGCGTCGCCTTACGTCGGCTGCGCCAGCTCGCCAGCGCCAGGATGATGGTACCGACTGCGCAGGTGAACAGGTAGAGGCCAATCAATATTGCCAGGAAGCTGGCAGTGCGGAACTGAATTACGTCTTCCACCATTCCCCATGTGCTGTTGACAAACATGTCCAAGGTGTTGTTGGCCATGGGAACCGCTGACCTCAGGGATGAGGGCACCGCGATAAGGGGCAAATAGAGTAAGCGGCTCATACAGTCACTTCTACCCCTAAACCCTAAAACTCTAAAACCTAAACCCCTAAAACCCTAAACCCGAAACCCTAAACCCTAACCTTAACCCTAACCCTGCACCCTGTCAGAGCTGGCATGTCTGAACACTTATTCTGTATCCTGGCTCTGGGCCTTTGACAGATTACGAAGATCAACGCCTGTGACAGATAGTTCGGTCCATGGCGACGAGGGCCGCTCTCTTACACAATCTGCTGGAGTACTATACTTTACAATTAAAATTGTTCTCTTCCCTGCTGTGCTTTTCTATACTCTCATTGCTAAAACAGCACAAGTCACACTAGAGTGGGAGCTCAGAAACTGTCCCGTTAGAGTCTGTTAGAGTTTGCGACCTGGAGTATGTCCAAAAGACGAAACGGTTGTGAAACTGCACCATGGAACCCATTGCATCGGGCCCCACGCAACGCAAGATCAACAAAATGGACTTTTCGAAAAACATGTCCGGCTCCTACGATGTTGCTATACACATGCATCCGGCGCGATTTACGCGCGTGGAACCTCAGCGAAGTGCAACATGCAAAGGCCCGGCTTTGCAGCTTGATATTGCCGATGTCTTGTATCCGGCAGAGAAGCAGTGTCACAAGTTCATTAGCCCCTGAAATGCTTCGAGGTTCAGGGTCTAGGGTTAGAGGCAGATGAGAAGTGCTGCAGCGCTTTCTGCAGCTCTCGTCCAGCGCTTCCTGCAACCCTGGTGACTACTGTTAGACTGCCCAGCAACTTTCTTAATAGAGCATCGAACAACCATAGAAGCTCCCTAATCCCATAAACCCCTGAACCCTGAACCCTAAATCCTAAACCGTAGCTCTGGAACCTTGTGAGTTGGCCTTTGGTGAGGCAGCTTCTTCAATGTGGGCATGCCAAGCCTAAACCCTCGGCCCTAAACCTATAACCCCTGCTTGTAACTACCCATGAACCTTCAAGTACACGAGGGCGCACCCAAAACCCAAAACCCTAAACCCTCTTCAAGTCCGAGACTTGAAAGGCTTTATATGGGTTGAAATGTATTTTATTGTTATATATATATGTATATGTATATATATATATACATATATATATATATATATACATTTTTTTTTGGGGGGGGGGGGGGGGGAGGTCGGGTTACGGGTTTAGGGTGTTTAGGGGTTTTAGGGTTTCTAGGGTTAGGGTTTCAGGGGATAGTCTTGCATGGGGTTCTAGGGGTTAACAGGGGTTTATATGGGCATATCTATGGGTTGAAAGAGGTTTCGATGGGTTTATAAGAGCTTATGTGGGTTTATATAGGTTCATATGGATTTACAAGGTGCATGGGGCGTAGAATTAGGGTGACATAGGGTTCATAGAGCTTTCTTGGGTTGAAAAGGGGTTTACAGGGTAAGTTTACAGTGTCTAAGGCTTCAGCGGTTTAGGGTTAGGGAGGCTTTGGGAGTTAGGGTTTAGGGTTTGGGAGTTCGGGTTTAGGGTAGTTGAGGGTTTGGGATGTAGGGTTAGGGAACTCGCATGTCTTTTCTTCGACTGGACTTCCAGCTCTTGGGGCGCGCTTCTGAGGAGGTGCAGCACCTGGCTGAATAGACAAGCTTCACCCTACTTTGGAGTAGACCCTGAAGAAAGTATACTTTCTAGGTAGAGGTAGCCTTATTGGGAACCCAGAAACAAAAAGAGCATTAAAGCATAGTACTCCAAAACCCAGTTCTAAAGAGGTTCATAGGGTTGAGGGAGAGGGGAGAGGGGTTTCCGAAAAATTCGGGGATCCCTTTAGAAGGGCTCCTTCAAGGGGGTTTCTGCTGCATACGGAGGGCCTGTGAAAGGGGCACCCTAGTGTCAGGAGACTCCCTGTTTTTGTTTTAACAGGATACAAAGGGGTCTAGGGCGGAACCGCCGATCTCTCCATTGTGAGCAAACAGGGTATCTGCGAACATTCAGTGTTGGGGTTTACGGTTGAGTCCCCTTTGCAAAGCCGAATTGAACGATAGAGCTAGGATGTGCCAGGTATGTGGCTTTTGTTGCAGCCCAGCTGGATCTAGGCCTAGGCGGGCAGCTAAAATCAAGCAACTTGCCCCCCGTACGTAGGCCAGTTCAGCCCTTCACTCTTCGAGAAGCTCTGAAATCCGCTTTCCCTGAAGGCAAAGAAGTCAGCTCCCAAATAAGACAAGCAAAAAAGGCTGGGGGCATATTCTGGGCAGGTCCGGGGCCTGAAAAAGTGCTCAGGGTGCAGGCTAGGGTTGCGCATTTAGGGAGTCACAAGCCTGGTGGCTGTCTCTCTCTCGCTCTCTCTCTCTCGAATCAGTGAAGCCCAGTGGCTGCTGAATCAGTGTGGCCTGCTGGCCGCGTTCTTTTTTGTAAGCATTAGAAGCCAACAGTGCCAGGAGCACCAGCTTATGCTTTCTACAGATAACTACTAGTAGTGACGGTTTAAACGCTCCAGGGACAAGTGACAAGTGCCTGTCCCATGGTAGCCAGCAGCGAGGCGGTGATGCTCGACTCACACAAGCTGAGGCTCTTACTCTACAGTGTGACGTAAATCTTACACCCTAACCTGAAACCATACACCTCAAGTCCCCAAACCCCAAACCCCAAATTCTAAACATAAACTCCCAAACCCTAAACTCCAAACCCTGAACCCTGCACCCAAAACCCGAAAACCACAAACCCCCACAACCCCTAACATGAGGCCTGCAGAAGACCACTTTCGAGGTCGCAAGCCGCAGGCCTTGGGAGGCCTTGGTGTCGGGCTTTCTCTACTTGCCATGTTTTTGGTGTTCTTAGTAGTAGGCTTAGGGTTTAGGGTTTAGGGTTTAGGGTTTAGGGTTTATAGGGTATAGGGTATAGGGTATAGGGTTTAGGGTTTAGGGTTTAGGGTTTAGGGTTTAGGGCTTAGGGTTTAAGGTTTCGGGCTTAAGGTAGTTTAGGCCCTAAACCCTATTCAGCCTAAACCTGTTTAAGGGTTTAGGCGAAAGTGGGTGCTGAGCTTGATACCTCTCGGCAGGCTGCAGCGGCCGTCTTGGACGGACATGAGGAAGGATGGACTCACGGGGTTCTAGGTTTAGGGTTCAGGGTTTTGGGGTTTAGGCTTAGGGTTTAGGATGCATTTTTTATAGGGTTGAGGGTCTCCAGGAGTTTAGGTTCAGGGTTTAGAGGGCTAAGGACGGCTTCACAGTTCTGCACAATGTCCCCAAACTGTTGCCAGAACATCCCCACCCTAAGCCCTAAACCCCAAACCCTAAACCTGAAACCCTAAACCCTAAACCCCAAAGGGGCCCCCTTCCTGTGTGCGCGGCAGTGTCGGCTCAAGCAGCGTCCGCCAGCGCCAGAGCGGTGGATAGCTGTGGACAGGGCCTCGGGTTTTGGGGGGTTGAGGGTTTGGGGTTTAGGGTTTGGGGCTTAGGGTTGGTCGAAATTAGGGTGTGCAGGGTCAAAAGAGGTTCTAAACCCTAAGCCCCGAAACCCTAAACCCTAAGCCGAGTTAGGGTTTAGGGTTTAGGGACCTAGGTTTGGGCTGTTTTTTGGATCTAAGGAGGGAAAGCGTGCGAAGTTGAGGTCTGCGTTCTGGGTGCACGGATTTTTCCGTGAGGGCGGTCGCAATTGCTTGCGGAAAACAAGAGCCCTAAACTCTTCATCCCGAAACAAGACCTGAAACCCCAAACCCCCAAAAAGGAATGGACCCTGCATATAAGCCTAAAACACCCCCCAAAAAACCCTTAACGCTAAAGAAACAGTAAGCCGTATAACACTAAAACCCTAAACTCTAAAATCCTCAAGCCCTAAATCTTACGACCCTGTGACCCCATGACCCCAACAACACTAACTCGAGAACGCGAACCCCTAAACCCTAAAGAATCCAAAAGCCCTCAACCCTAAACCCTAAACCCTCTGACCCTAACCACCGAGTTCCGGGCACCTTGAGATAAGGCATCAGCCTCAGCAGCCAAGGGTTAGGTTCAGGGGTAAGGGGTTGAGGGGTTTAGGGTTTAGGGTTTAGGGTTCAGGGTTTAGGGTTTAGGGTTTAGGGTTAGGTTCAGGGGTTTCGGGGTTGTGGGGTTTCGGGGCTTAGGGGTTCCGGGGTTTAGGGGTTGTGGGGTTTAGAAGCCGAAAGAAAACATCACCTTGCATAGGGTGAGTGTTCAGAATTGCCATCCCCGAACTCCGAAAACACAACGGATCTACGCCCTAAACTACCCTCAAAACCCCAGACTTGGGGTGTTCCCCCTTAAACTAACAGTCCTTAAGTGGGATTATGATACCCCCTCTGATATTCCCTATTGAGGACCTAAACCAAAAAACCTTAACTACCCCAAGCCCCCAAACCTGAGACTTGATGGAGAACAGCAACCCCAAACCCCAAACCCCAAACCTCAAACCCTAAACCCTAAACCCGAAACCCTAAACCCTAAATTGTTCTTAAACCCCAAGAGTCAAGGCAACCAAATGACAAGAAGCCAGGGGACATCGATCCCGGGCTGTCGGAAGTCTACAACTGTGACTACGGTCTAGGGTCTTGGGTTTAGGGTCTAGGGTCTAGGGCTTAGGGTCTAGGATCTCGGGTTTAGGGCTGGGGTTCAGGGTTTCGGGTTTGGACAAGATAGCAAGCGGAAGCCAACAGAGTCAACAAGTATGCTGCTTCAAAGCCCAGAATCACCAGCAAGGTATTGTCAGATCTCCCAAACTCAAGAAGCCCTAAAGACCCAAACCCTTGACACCGAGCCCTAAACCCTAAACCCTAAACCCCAAACCCTAAACCCTAAGCTTCAGTTCACTGAGGCACAAGCTTGCGGTCACTTTCCATGGCCTGCCGTGACCTATAGTCCCAGAGTGTAGGGTTATGCTGAGGTTGTGAGAATTATGGTCCCTTAATCGGTTTAGGGTTTCGGGTTTTGGTTTAGGGTTTTGGTTTTAGGGTTTATGGGTTGGGGTTGGCGCGCATG